CAATTATTAGGGCTGCATGTTAGCAAACTTGTTCACTAATTTGCCAACTACTTTGGATTTTTATTAAATGCAAATGAGCTACAATATGAATATTACCTTTCAATCTGTCATCATCAAATGCCAGTTTTTTTTAAATAATTTGTTAGGTTTACACGACTGAAAGATATGCAAAATTGTTTGCGATGGTCAAATCTGCTTTATTCAAAAACAAAGTTGTCAACAGATTACTAAACTTGTTTGAAAACTTGCTGCCCCAATACTTCTGAGACTTGCTTTAATACATATTGTTTACACGCTTACCTGTTTACCAACATTATTACTGATCTTTTGAAGTGATGGTCCCGCTCTTATTTCAGCAAGCATGTCAGAGGTCAAAGGTCCTTGTGAGGAAACTGGTAAAAAAAAAAGATAAATAGAACAGTGATGAGGAAATTTTATTTTCAAAAGAACAACAGGAATATACTATAGATACATTTATACATGTATATAGATTCAAAGCCTAATTAAGCCAAAGAAAAATACGTTTCATGTCTAATTATTGTGCATATCGGTTTGAAACCTGTGCCTCACACTTTCATGTAATGATAAATTAATGCACCACATATAATAGCATGAAGAATTAAATTTTGTATTTTTTTATCACGAACAGTGGTTATAACAAATATATTCACCTGGGACCTTCATATTTGTACTAATAAGGTTCGACTGTACTGCATCATTTTAAATTTTAAAATGTTAACAAGCAGCCTGTTGGCTGATATAGTCCTGCTATATAGTAAAAATTGCATTTTTTTACCAAAAATATTCACTAAAATTAATTGTCACAAAATGAACACATTTGTCAGAGGCTCACCTAAGGTGTCGTATAAAATATCAAAGCAATCGGGCTAGCAGTTTTCAAGAAGATGACGAAAATAAAACTTTTTACCTAAAATATTTTTCAAATTTAAAGATTTGAAAATATCATTACAAAATCAACAAAATTTAGGGAGGTCATCAGTAACTTTGATATATGCACATATGAAAAATTTTTTTGCAACACCAACCAATCAAAACAAAGAAGAAAAACTAGTAAATATACTTAAAACGAAATACAAAAATATGTTAATTAATTTAGCCAGATTTGTATACCAAGGCTTCTTAATGAGAGAAAACTACATTAAATCTAAATTACCTGCTGCCTCATAAAAATAGGGTTTCTGCTTTGTTTTGTGTTTTTGTGGTTGTCTTTTGTTTTTTCTCTATTTTTTTTTTTATTTTTCTATTTTTACCTTACAACATTTAACTTTATTGTATCACGAACAATATCTCAGTTAAGGATACGTTTATCAATAAAGATTATTATTATTATTATTCATCGCAATTTCATTAAACACCAGAGCATAAAAAAAAATGCGATGCAACGTCTGCAACGCAAACTCACCTGTAGATGAAGACATGGTGGATGCTGGACTGGTACTCCCGTTTTCCTTCCACTGAGCTCCTCTAGATGGTGAGTTGGCATTGTATAGTTGTTGGTTTGGAGGAGGAGGAGGGGGTGGAGCTGGGGGTACTGATGATGTCTGCACTTGAGGTGGAGGAGAGGTTACCGTTGACGATGAGAAATGTGACGGATGATTCAACGAAGGGGGCGGTTGAATTACAGGCGTAGGTTTTTGAGGCTCTTTTTTTGCAGGTGGTGGCCAATTGAATTTAGTGGATTGCATGTCATTACTGGTTGTTGTTGAAGATTGCAATGGAAAAGTTGGTTTTGGTGCAGCTTGAGGTGGGGATTTGTGTTCTTTCTCATTAACACTTGGCGATGCATTAGGCTGTATCACATACATCAAAGAATCCAAGTTTGGTGGGTATTTTCCATGCGTAGACATAGGACATGCATCACCATTTGTAATATTTTCTTTTTTCGGAGAATGGAAGACTTGATTATTTTGTGCGGGGGGTGCAGGTGGTGGTAAATCAGGTGCAGGTGGGATAACTACTGTATGTGTTGAATTTATGTTTGGTTGAGAGTAATTTCCATTGACCACTGGAGGTGGGGAATCAAGTCTTCTATCTCTTACTAGAGGTGGCCTCTTCATTCCCTCTCCAGTTTCAGCATCCTGGCAGTTTCCCTGTGAAGAATGACCTCCATCAGTGACATCCAAGTTCCTTTGCCGGGGAGAGTGTTGTACCTCCACGACATGCTTTGCATAGACACCAGTACCATTACTGCTACTGGAGGAAGTTCGAACTTGAGGATTCTTTATTGGAGATGAACGTAAATTCTGGAAAAGAAGAAAAAATTTTCATTAGTGAATGAGATGAACTCGTGAAAAAAATAATCTGCTGGGCAATGTTGCAATTTACATTGTTGTTTTGTAAGTAACATTTCTATTCAGCTAGCAGTATTGTGTATCAATTCATCCAGCTAAGTCAAAACAATGCAACAATGTATCCATATCTCAGACTAAGCGGTGCCTTGTATTACGCTTGACGTGTCCAAGTCGTTCGAAGCAAACCGTTGGTGCACTCAACTTCTTGAATTGAAAAAAACGCTACATTCAATCTAAAAGAATCAAAATTCTGAAATGGTATAATTACTTTTTTTTCAACACTTCTGAGGTATTTTGCACATTCGTTGTTGCCGCAGGCTTTGGCCAAATCAGACGCGACTAAACCATCTTTATCTTCAATATTGACATCACAACCGAATTCAACTAAGACGTGTAAAGACTGGAATAAAAAATAGATTCATAAATACGAGTCAGTTGTCTTTCTTACTTGCTTTCAGGAACTAGAGAAAGAATGTAAGTGTAATTGAAAATGTAACAAGGTTTGTTTGATATGACCAATAATGCACGTGTTGTGCAGCTAAATTGAACAATATTTCAAGTACAAGTTCATAATGGCAGGTAAATGTAATACACCAGGAATAGTAGTGATTCAATGTGGTCACCTCCAGTTTATTACTTAATATGTTTTATTTTAGTATTACAGTTGCAATGTCGGCAATGTTCAAATTTGAGTAACTTGAAAAATCCCATGTGAGATTCGTTGAAACCCCAAGAAGCTAAAAACTCAATTACATCTGAATCTACAAAACTATTCAGTGATATTCGGCTATCCTCGGGGGCGGACAACCGGGCATTTCCACCGCTTTGCAACCATCGCGGTGAAAACAAAGGCCAAAAACTGTACTTCAGGATGTTTGTTGAGACCCCCCTGAACAGTGTAACAAGATTAGCCCTGCGTGTGTAACATATATAAATTGGGTTGTTCAGGATTACTTTAAAGTTGAGTTTGTGTTGTTTTCTCGAATTTTCATTGGCTCGACCGGCGTTCCACAGCAGCGCATACAGAGCCCATAGAAATGCATGTACAGTGGTGCGCGTCTTAGCAACGTGGAACGTCTTGTGACGTAGCTCCGCCCCGAGGATTGGTAAGAAACGCCAGAAATGGATATTATGCAAACGTTGTTGCAGTTATTATAAAAATCAAATAACTAAGTTTCAAGCAAAATGTGATGAGACCTTACTTCGAGTTGTCCATGTTCTGCTGCATCATGTAATGGAGTACCACCAAGGCTATCTGGCTCACATCCACCACCGTGAGACAACAACCATTTTAATATGTGAGTGTGCCCTCTACTGGCAGCAAAGTGTATTGGTGTAGCACCATCATTGTCTTTTTCCATTGCTGATACACCTTGTTCTCGTACCTTGAAAAATGAGTGAATAGTGAAACTATTGATGCCTTGTAAAGGTGGAACTATGTATAGTAAGAGTAGTCAGGATAATACATTAGAATAGTGGTATGTTAAAATTACGACTGTTTAAAAAGCAGTACAACTGGATAATAAGTTAATGTTCAACAAGTAATAATGAATGACAGTGATCTATACTATGAACTCATTTGGACTTGTATTGAAAAACACTCAACGTTACAATCGCTACACTACACTACACTACACTACACTACACTACACTACACTACACTACACTACACTACACTACACTACTGTTACCACTATACTACTGTTACCACTACACTACACTACTA